CTCTCTCTCTAAATATATATATATATATATATATATATATATATATATATACTTTGCTGGTTTTTTGTGTTTCTCTAGAGAACCCAATCTAACACAGTACTCACTGTTTTTGTTCAGGTTTTTCCATAGTTGGTGCCTAATACACTTTTGTATAGTTCCTTTCAAAGCTCAGGGCTCCAGGATTATCTTCTGTATCTCTGTCACCAGTTTTTCTTTTCTTTTTTGAAGAGGGTCTGTATCGCTTGTCTGCCTAGTCCTCTATCTTCACGGCTCTGTATCTCTGAACTAACTAGTCTATCATAGTGAACGTGGAAATCTTTAACCAAAATTATAGTTAAACTTTTGACTGACTTAGTTAATATTCTTTATGCTAATATCATGGATAGGGAGATTAAATTCCATAGTGTTCAAGTGAAAATTTTTCTTGTCCATTTACTGTTAAACTGTTTAGAATCTAGTGGATCAGGGACTTAGACTGTTGGTTTCAGTTACACCTGACTTAAGTACATCAGAAATTTTTCTTATTATCATCCTTTTAAAGAAGTTCAGAACCAAGAAAATTCTCATAGTACCTTCTTGATGAAGGTAGGTCATAATAACTGAGATGTTTTATTTAGTTGATCTGAAAATTTCCCTTTGTTTTAATAAGTATTGATTATTGTTAACTATCATACAGTGCTTTTCCTCTTAACCACAGCCTTCCACAGTGAAAGCACTAGTTCATGAAGAAGCATAAATGAACATTTCCCTTTTGGCCCACAGTTAAAAGGATTCTTGGCAGAGTATTATTCCAGAAGCATCTTGCTTTGTATTTTTGTATTAAATAATTATAATTCAGGAAAGAAATAAAGGGACAAAATGGTATTTGCTCAGAAGACATCTAAGCTAAAAATGTTTGGTACTAGAAGTTTTATGGAAGAACTTATAATAAAGACAGGTGCCAAAATTTTCCACCATCATAAAATAAGTTTATTTTTTCTTATTAAAGTAAATTAACTTAATTTTTAAAAATAGCTAACATAAGTGTATAACTTTCTTTACAACTTCCCAGGAGAAGTTTAATGGTAGAATGTGTGTTTTCTTTCATCTTTCTTTCAGCTGAAAATCTAAGAATGAGAAGGATTGTCTTTGATAGTGTTTTTATCTTATTCTGCCTCTTACATGGTAAGTCATTATAAAAACATAAACCGAAAAGAGGGGAAATTATTTTTGAATTTACAGAACTGCAATATAACTACATGAGGGTAAGTGTAATTAAAGTAAGTGAGGTGCTTATAACAAGGCTTGAATAGCAAGCATTCAGTTAATAATAATAAGAGCAAACATTTACTAAGCACTTACTACATGCCAGGTATTATCCTAAACATTTCATATGGGTTAATGCTTTTAAGCCTCGGGATAACCTTATGAGTTAGGTGCTGTTATTTCCCACATTATAAATGAGCTAGCAGATGCTGGATCATGTATTACTCCAGCAAGAAGAGAATGGCATCAGGTTTCGGATCTGCAAAAAAGTATGCAGCTACAGTGATGTGGTATACTTGCTGAAAACAAGGTCTTTGGCTTCCAACAGACCTTTGCTTTCCTCTTGTCTCTGCCATTTAACCAAGACTTAAAGGCCAAAATTAAAATTAAAGGTCTCTAAAGTTTTCTTTTTATGTGAAATATGGGCAACTGTAACACCCACCTCTAGGGCTGATTGCGGGAAATAACTGAGCTAGTACATGTAAAGGAGCTCTGGTGGTGTGGTGCCTAATGCATTTGACTACTAACCAGAAGGTTGGCGGTTCAAACTCAGGCACTCCTGGAAAGGAAGATTGGGCAATCTACTTCCGTAGTGATACCACCTCAGAAACGCAAGGAGGGGTCACTATGAGTCTGATCGGACTCGTGGGCAGTGAGTTTGCTTGATAGAGTACTTGGCATAAACTTCATATTGTTGTTATTGTTAGGTGCCATCAAGTCAATTCTGACTCATAGCAACCCCATGTGACAGAGTTGTTGTTGTTGTTATGTGCCGTCGAATCTGACCAACTCATAGCGACCCCCCCCTTGGGTTTCCAAGGCAGTATCACTATGGAAGTAGATTGCCCAACCTTCCTTCCAAGGAGTGGCTGGTGGGTTTGAACCACCAGCCTTCTGGCTAGCAGTCAAATGCCTTAAGCACTACACCACCAGAGCTCCTTTGTGACAGAGTAGAACTGCCCGATATGGTTGTCCAGGCTGTTATCTTTATGAAGCAGATTGCCAGGTTTTTCTCTTGGGAAGCTACCCCTCAATATGGCAGAGGGATAAAACATTGCACAAAATATCTATTAAACCCTTTATTGAGTTATCAATGAATAGGATTGAGATGGTAGTGGTTTTTATATACAGAGGGAACTATAAACGCTATACTAGGACAAATTGTGGCTTAATTTCAATTTAACACTCTGAGCTGTTTATTGATAGTGATGCACGTTCCTTTATTGGTCAAGCCTTCCTACAGGAGTTCTTAAAAAGGGTATTTCTGAGTTGGATGGAACCAAAACCAAAATAACTCACTGCTGTCCAGTCCATTCTGACTCCTAGTGACCCCTCCTTGGGTTTCTGAGGCAGTATCTCTATGGAAGTCGACTGCCCAGTCTTCCTTCCCAGGAGTGGCTGGTGGGTAGAACCAGTGGTTCTAAAACATCTATACCCAAGTCACATGCCCTCAGTTGTTTCTGCCTATTTAAATACAGATTCCGGGACCCTATCTTCTACAGATTGTAATTCAGTAGGTTTGCTGAGGGCTCCAGGAGTGTGTATTTATTTTTTAACCAGTCAAATAAATCTGATATACAGTCAAATTTGGTAAACAATCTTCTAAGTGATATCCTCCAATATGACCTGTGTTGAGTCAGTTCAGAATCTCTGGGCTACTTCTCCATAACAAAATGAAAATATTTTTGAGCCACTGAATTTGAGTATTAAAGATAATGAATATCTAAGCATTAAGCAAGAACTAAATATTCATGGAGAACCCACTGTACGTAAGGTGCTGCCTTAGGCATTGAAATGGAGTCCTGACAGTGGCCATATGCTTGAAATTAACTAAATTTTCTGGCTAAATAACTTTGGGTTAATTTGATCCAACTGAGGAACTGAATATATTTTAACTGAATTGTTTAGAATACCTAGTATCATTTTGATTAATATCAGTTCAGGGTGCTTCCAATTCATGAACATAATATATGCTTTGATATTTTCCCCATTAAATTCTCAAGATCAAAATAATTTGAATTTATGTCCCTTTTAAAAGGTAATTTAAAAATTACTTGCTTTCCAGAGATGAAAATAACTGCTTTATTTTTTTATCTCTCTCTCTCTCTCTTTTTCTCTTTTTACCTCTCAGTCTCTATCTTCTTTTTCCCCTTATTTTTCTCCCCTGTACTTGGAGGTACTGAAAATATGAGTGTGATTTGTAGAGAATGCAACCTCTCACTCCCCTTCCATGGATGTCTCTTAGACTTAGGAACCTGCAAAACAAAGCCTGGTCAGTTTTGTATAAAAGAGATCTACACTAAATGTAAGTCATGACATTTGGGGGTGGAGAGAGACTTTAAAATAAGCAATGGAAAAATCATTATCTGACAGCAAACATTTATTGACAGTTGCTGCATGTGAAGTATATAACTAGGATATGAGCTGGATCCTGTCACTGTCCCAATTTTAAAAATGAGAAATTTCAGGCATAAAAATGATGAAAGCAATTGCACAAAGTTACACAGCTAACCAAAGAGTGGTGTAGCCAAGATTCAAATGCAAGTACTCTGGCCCAGAGTGCACATTCCTAATGATTCTGTATAATGCCTCATTCACACTGTTCACATTCTCAGAATGCATTAATACACAACTTTCAGGGCCTAGGGCAAAATGAAAATCCCCGTGTTCAAAATATATTAAGACACTCAAGATGCTAACACAAACCAAAAAACCCCACTGCTATCTAGTCAATTCTGACTTATGATTATCAAGAAGCATCCAAAGAGCAAACCGTTCAGAAATTTCTACATAGTTCATGACAACTGCATGGCTTTTATAGGCTGAGTTTTTATAGGCTGAAAGCTTTTATAGGCTGAAAGTTATTTTGTTTTACAGTTTCAAAGCTCATGTAATGCAATGTACCTACAGGAATACCTTTTTGGTGGGAGTTCTTAAAGATGAGATGATAAGACAAGTATATATATATAAAATTGTGATTTGGGTGAAGATTTACAGAGCAAATTCACTTTCCATACAGCAGTTCACATACACTTTGTCTCATGACCTTGACCACAGTTTACCACAATGCAACAGCTGCCCTCCCACTTCCTCCCCATAGTTACCTCTTCCCAGTGTCCATCACTCCATGTACTCCTGCTCTCTGAGCTGTCTCCCTATGCATAAGCAGTCCTTCTTTCTCCCATGATTGTTCTCTCCAAGGTGTGTATCTACCTCAGGTAAATGTTCAGCTCATATGCCTGTCTTTTGTTTGGCTGGAAGCCACAGGTGTAGGTTCAATTCCAGACCTGAAGGGCAGCTAGGGGTCATAGTCTCAGTGGTTCCACCAGGCTCTACCACATCAGCAAACCTGGTCCCCCCCCCCTTCATTTTTTCTCTCCAAATGATTTTGAGTTTAGTTCCACATTGTTCTCCCTCTCTATCAAGGATCTCCTACATAGATCCCCTTCTAAGTGGATGACAGTGGTAGCCGGGCACCATCTAGTTCTTCTGGTCTCATAGTCGTATAGGCTGCAGACCGGATGGTGTACCAGTCGCTAGGACTAATTGCTTCCATGAATTTTGGTTTTCTTCATTCTTCTTTGCTCTGGACAAGGAGAGACCCATTGTTGCATCTAGATGGCAGCTTGCTAGTTTTATGATCCCAGTCACTACTCGCTAACGTAGGACGTGGAACAATGTTTTGTGTAGTATGTTATGCCAATTGAGCTTGATGTCCCCTATGACTATGGTCCCAAGCCCACAGGTTCAACGACTCAGTCCCTCTGGGTAGCTGGCTGTGACCAAGCAGTGACCACAACCTTGCCACTAAGACAGTCATTCTTAGTGGTAGGGACTCTAGATTTGCATCATGATATCCCAAGATATTTTGCTTTCTTTTGCTGAAGCATCTGTGTCCAGATAGGTTGTACCTCTCAAGGACTATTCCCCTACCTCTCCCTCTTTTGTTTCCCTCAGTTGGCATTCAATGGTATTCCGTGAAAGGCTGCACAAGGAACCACAATCAGTGTTTCAAGAGAATTGTGACAAATTATGAAGTTTACTCAACTCATTGCTGCCATAAACCTTTCTGCAATTTCTGAGCCCATGGCCAACATCCAAATTGTTTCACAGCCTGAACTGGTCATCGCCAGATGGTAGCCACCATAAATTAGCTCTCTACAAAGATGTCAGAACTTTGCAAGATTTAAAAGTTATAATCTGAAATTGCCTCTGGTTTTCAAGGTGCCCACTTCCTCCCACACCACCTCTAGCTCATTTCAGACACAACCCTTTTCAATATCATCTCACTACCTCCTTGTTCTGTTTAATTCCCCTTCTAGCCACAAGAGATCTCAAGGTTATGAAGAAGTGAAACTGTTAGTGATTACCCCAGTCAAACTATGCACACCATCTCTCACTAGTTTATTTACCTATTTCCAGACTCCAAAATTGAGTTACAAATAAATTGTATCACAAGATATCAACTGACTTGAGAGTGTTCATTTTGGTTTCCAAAGCAAAGTGACTTGCTGAGTGATTAATAGTCTGAAAGAAACTTACTTAACAAATAACATAGGAAACATAAACAATGAATCAGCAAACCAAGCCTGTGGGAAATATGATCCCAAATGGCAGGGGACTGAGGCAGTTGGGAGGGTTGGCGCTCCCATTTGTTTTGGGATTTGTCCAAATTCTGAATTCCTTACCTCAACTGCAACTAAGTGGTTTGGCTCATCTAATTTTGCCAGATTAAGATGTACAAATTAAGCAGGTGAATAGATTCCCGCCCATAAGGAATTTAGGAGGAGTAAGAATATACTTTGAACTACATTTCACATTTTTTAATGTGTCACATATTCTATTATTTACATTCAACGTCTTACATTTGCAGCTTGGAGATTGCTTTAAATTTTCATTTAAGGTTGTCTTTCTGTATTTTCAAGAGTGTGAAAAATCCAAATATAAATAATAAATCTTAATGAAATAGTGTCAATAAATTGTCTTTTTTTAGGACCGTCATCTCACACAATGGGCCCTCAAATGTTTTTCTATGAATTTTGAAGAAAAACAAGGATTAAATTAAAAAAAAAAAAAAAGTCCAAGGGAATCAGACTTCCTCCTTCCACATTCATTTTAGCTATACTCTTTAGATAATATTTCTGAATCCACTAAAGCAATTAATCTCTTCGGACCAAGATTTTAAATCCAGTTGTCCTATTCTGTCAGTAAACAGAGCTCTGGTGGCATAATGCCTAAGGCATAGGCTGGCGGTTCAAACCCATCAGCCACTCTTCGGAAGGAAGATTGAGCAATCTACTTCCGTAGTGATACTGCCTCGGAAACCCAAGGAGGGGTCGCTGTGAGTCGAATCAACTGACAGCAGTGAGCTTTTTTGGATATTGGTAAACAGCGGTTACTCCTGTTGAACTCCATGGAGATCCTTCTTCCCTCTTTGTCTCCCCCAACTCTGTGTGTGTGTGCGCGCGTGCGTGTGTGTATGTGTGTGTGATCTCTCTCAGATCCTGCCTGGTGATCATATCCACCCTCTTCACCAGTTCATTTGTTTATCTTGTGTCTTGATCTTGGTTTTTGAAACTTTCCCTTCCAATGACCTCACCTCCAATACACACACACACACACACACACACACACACACTTCTAGATTATATTTTCCTGACATAAAGCCTCCATTAGAATCAAAGTGAGCCTTTTTGAAACTCATCCCATTTGTTGAACTGAATCCCACGTTCTACCTGTCTGAATTATATTTGCCGTAACGGACCCTCTCTGCTGAGAACACTGTTAACAAATCTCTGCCTTTGGGTCTTAAACCTATGGGGAGCGTCATCTGTAGCCAGAACCTCGGGGCTTTCTTAGCCTCCTTGCCTCGCAGTCCTGAGTACCTCTGCCATCTAGTGGGCAAGAGTGGTATCTACACCCTGTAGTAAAGCCTCATACTTGCCCAGGAGAGCTCTTCCCTGGACCCATGACACCTGGGTGATTGACTCATTATACCTTTAGGTCACAATATCTTGCACCAAGTTATGCAGAGGCAACAGCCTTGAGTTATCAGAACATATGTCAAATGGTTTTTGTGGCAAGTAAATGAATCAAATCCTATAACAGTGTCTGCAGAGAAGGTTTGAAGTTTGAAGCCGGGACAAAGTATAAAATGCAGGATGAAAAAGGAAAAAGAAAAGATGATCTTTGGGGTTTAGTGAATTCAAGTGATGCTGAGTCAATGACGTAGCTCTGAGTCTAAGGACTCAGAGTCTAAGGACTTCTTCCATTCCCTTCTACACGAATTCTAGTGTCTCCACATCATTTACTGAAGGTCATCACCATGTTCATGTTCCATTGACATATTAGCACTAGCTCGGTGTTTCCTTCCCAGAACACTTAAGCCTGAGTCAAGAGAGAATGTTCTCGGGTAATTTAACTCTTTCTTTCCCAGCTTTATATTTTACCCTGCCACCCACCCACGCCGGGTCCCAACACTCTCAAAATCCAATCCTGCATGTGCTCCCCCTGGTGGCAGAAAGCTCATAGTAGCCAAGTCTCACAATTGTAGTGAGTATTTCTACCACTGCCTTTGCTAGCTGCCATTGAGTCGTCCCTTGACTGAGAGAAATCCGTAACAATGGAACAAAGCATTTCCTGTCCTGCATCATCTGCATGATCAGCTGTGGATCCGGCCGTTGAGATCCATAGTGTTTTCGTTAGCTGGTTTCTGAAAGTAGATCATCAGACCTTTCTTCCCAGTCCACCTGGTCTGGAAACTCAAATGAAACCTCAGCACTAAGCAGCATGCAAGCCCCCACTGACAGATGGTGGGGGCAGTGCATGAGCTGAACTGGTCAGGAACTGAACTGGAGTCTCCCATATAGAAAGTGAGAATTCTACCACTGAACCACCAATGCCCCCTATTTCTGCTAGAGCAGATAAAATGTCCCCTCTTGGGCTAGGCTCAGACCTGACTCTAGTTATTGGTCTGCAGTCATTGAGCTGAGGGGAGGCGCATGGGAGCAAATCTTGAGAATAATCATCATCTTGCAACACAACCATCTCAGGTGAGGTCTTGGTCTGGTTTCCAGACAAGAGGAGGCTACTCTCCTCTAGCAAAGAAGGCAGCTTCCTCTGCCAGCCAGGAGGCTCAGAGAAATATGGGAGGGAGGAGGAGGTTTCAAGGTTCTCAGACAAATCCACCCATACGCCTTCATTCCGGAGCCCTGACTTTGGCATGGTAGACTAGTGGAGGCTATACATTCAGTTCTTTGCAGCTCTGCCACTTTATCATTAAACCTGGGGCCTGACTTTCAGCACAGGCTTTCCTCCAGCTACAGAAGACAAGAATCTATATGTTGCCATGGAGGTCTTCTAGATTTTATAGCTTCCCTTGAAATAAGAGTTAGCTGACCTAAGTCTGTTCTTTCCCCCCTCATATATTCTAAGGTGAATATCCAGCCAAATCCATCGGCTTTATAATTACCACCCAAAGTGCTGAGCTTCTGAACAACTCAGTGCTTCCACTTTCCCTGGTGCCTCATCTCAGCCCAGCACACTGACAGCCTGGGTAACTGTGACGCTGCAGCCTGTAAGGGGTGACCTCCAATCCCTAACCTCCAGTCATCTCATCAATGAGGAAAATGGTTCCAGAATCTCATTCTAATGAGCCACTTTCTAGGGCTAGTTCTGGTACCAAATGTCTTAGTTTGGATTCTCCCTAAAGCAGAACTTAAGGCAAGGAGTTGGTTGCAAGTTGTTTATGTATGAGGTAATTCCAGGAAGCAGGAGTGAAGGAAAAAGGAGAGGAAGTTAGTGAAGAAAGAAAACCCAATGCAAGAAGAATGCATTATCAAGGTTGTTGCTTCTTGATTCTTTGATACTTCCTGAGAAATGTGGAAACGCCTCCTGCTGAAGTGTCAAAACGTCACCTGAAGGATGGGAGGCTGGAGCACTTATTCACATCATCCCCCACTGGTTGAGGACTGCCCTTGGGGCCAGTAACTCCCCTCCCATCCATGTTGCTCTTGGCAGGGTCACCCTTGAATACTAACTAAATTAATAATCTACACAGATAGTAAAAGCTCATGAATTTTGAGCTCCATTCAGAGAGGCCCTTTTCTTAACCCAGAAAGACCCTCACAGACTTATTGTTTTTGTTGCTTAAAATTAACTTGTGGCAACACCACCTGTTGACTACATAGATTCAATGACATAGACCATTTTAAATCTCATTTTTTGTTCTTTTCATAAGACTAGAAAGCTGTAGGAAAACAGGCAGTAGAAATTTACAGTGAATTTTAAATACAGATACCAATCTAAGATTTCAATAGTTCTATTATATTTTATATTTTATTGTATAAAATTTTAATTATCTTGACATTGAATGTGAGATTTCAGAAGATTGCTCTTGTAAGAATGTCACTTATAAGCAAAGTTCAACAAGATAGAAAATAACAAATGCTGGTGAGGATGTGGAAAGATTGGGACTCTCATGCACTGCTGGTGGGACTGTAAAATGGTACAACCACTGCGGAAA